GGGGGGGGGGGGGGGCAGTCCTGGCTGAGACAGCGGCGTTAAGGGAAGTGACGGCCGGCCCCCACGGGGTGGGTGCCCCACGCTAAGCTGGCTCACCGTTTGGTATCTTACGCTTAATTTCTGAATGGCTTTAGTGAATCAGTTCTACAAAACCAAGAGACGGGACTGCGGAGCCGATACCGTTCGTTCCGGTTTCAAAAATGTTTAAAGAAACATGCAGAGGGTTGGGGATCTCGTTCTGTCATAGCACCAGAGTTCACAAGTCAGCTTCGCCATCACCGGCACGGCGCTGCAATAAATACTCTGCATCTCTAACGGGGTGGATGTGGGAAGCACTGAAGTGTGACCTTTAGCATTGACAATTCCTCGGCTTAGGAGACATGTCAGTATAACTCAAGCAGCTGTGGCATGCCAGAAATGTTGTTTTTAACATTCTCTCTGCTTATGAAAGATGCTACTGTCTTATTTTGATTGTGTTCTCACCCTTGGCTAACCATGCATCTCTGCAGGTGAAAAACACTGTGTCAGGTGCCACAGAAGATATTGAGATATGAAATGAGCTTTTTTTTTTTTTTAAACTGGATATGAAGTTCATTTGGGAGAGTGCAGGGTTGGAGTAGGTTTGGTTTTGTTTTGTTATGTTTTTTTTCCTTTCTTCCCCTCGCCCTTTCCTTTCTACATGTCACCAAGGCACTTCACTCTGTGCGTAGGATGATGTGGATCCCTGATTCTGTGAAAACTGGTCCGCTCATCTCGCCAGCCCTCAGCGCAAATGAGGCATCTTCAAAAGGTTTCTGCATCTGACCTGCAGAGAGCAGACACCAGAAAGTTCAATTAAGCCCAGCAATGAAGGGAAGATCTTTCTGAGCAAGCAAGCCTCAAATGGAAGACAGCTTCCAGGCAAACAACAAAGTCACCAATTAATAACTTGCAGGGGGTGTTTGTTTTCATCTGCTCCCAGAAGATGATTCAAAACAACTCATTCACACATGCACGTACACAGGCTTTTTCCTTTTTAAACAGGAGGTTGGTTTAGATCCTACAGACATCACTGCAGCAAGGAAAGACACCCAGAGAGCTGCGGGCCCAAAAGGCTGAGGAAATCTGTTCTGCAGACTCACTGGCACAAGTGGATGCTCGTCTTCCCATCTCATGTGCCCTCCAGGTACACAGGGGGGATAGATGCGGTGTGCATTACAAGCTGTGCTAAATAATTTACAAAGCACACGTGGATAATGTCATGACCTAGATAAGAATTGCTCTTAAGGCTCCCGTCTCCAAGTCACTGACTTTCAGGAGGTTTAATAATCCAGGCTCAGGAAAGCCAGAGGTGCTCAGAGGAAGGACCCCACAAGGGGATTCATGAGCAGAACTACTGCAGCTCTGCAGCAGGAGAAGGAAGAAGCAGCACAAGAGCTCAGCCACAATAATTCAAGCCAAGGGGAGAGACACCAGCCCGCTACAGCAGGGTTCAGGGGGGACAGTATTTTTGCCCAGTTTCCTGTGACAGGAGTCAGAGCAGAGAAACTGCCCACTCCAGCTGAAATAATGAGGTTTTATTGTTACCAACAGGTCAAAGTCTCATCGGGGGATTCTCAGCAAAAGCTTCAGCAGAAGGACAAGATGCCCGCGAGGGAAGGCTGGGAGGTGACAGTCCCCCAGGCACAGAGGGAACCTTTCCTCTCTGCTCTCAGCACTGACCACGCTTGGAGAGCTTGCCTCGAGGTGCCCGAGGAGATGTACAGAGCAGCATCTTGCCAAAACCACCACATAAATCTCCTGGAAGTTTATGACCCGTGGCTCCAAGCTCTGGGGCGGTGCTGTAGCTTTGGACTCCGCAGCACATTAGGAGAGGGCTGCAGAAAGCTGCCAGGCGGTCTGAGAGCTGGATCGTCATGAGACGTTACAGGGATACACTAATCTCTTTGAAAAACTAAAGCTTCCCAACCCCTTCAAAGACCACACATCTCAGATGCAGTGCATCTATCCCAGCAGCATCTCCGGAATTTATGTTTTACTTTAGGACCTCCATCCATCTGCGCCCCTTTCTCTAACATGGCAGTTAGATGCCACAAAAGATGCTCCATTCCTCCCTTTCAGGATCAGCAATAGCTTCAGCTTGGCAATTTTCCCTTCCAGAAAAAGTGTTTTATTACTGAAGTGACCTGATGCTTTCCAGAGTTTCACTTCTCTCATTTCAGCATTTAGAGTAATTGCTCGGAGAGGCAAACAGCTTGCCTGGCTCTCAAGCTCCAGTTACAAAGCCAGTGTCATTCACTATCAGGCAGACCTGCCTTGTCACCTGAATTTTGTGGTTATTTTCCACTAGGGCCTGAAATCTTTACTTCAGGTGAGATAACAGCCTCCCTTCTCCACTACAGTGGTCTTCCTTGAGCAGAAACATGACTTATTTGAAAGGTTTCAGGAAGACAAATTGAAATGTTTTAATAACTTCACCTCTGAAGTAATCAGTGTTCCAAGTTCTAACAAATTAGATTTTCAACCAGGGGGAAAAAAAAAAAAAAAAAGGGTGGATAGAGTGACAGCTCAGGGGTTTGGCCACCACGCGTGGTTCCAATGCCATCTAGTGGAAACTGGTTCTTGCAACATTTCTTTACATTTTGGTGCAGTCAGATAAAAAAAAGAAAAGAAAAATCAATCTCTTTACGTACGTCTCCAAAGAGCACAATGAACTGAGTTTCCACTGAAACCAAAAGAGCAGACACAGCACCCTAGGATTAATGCTTCATTATATACAAATCCATAAAACAGCACTGTTTAGCCCTGCCTGGAAGGATCTGAGGAAGCAACTGTTGCTCAACTGTAGCAACACCGCACCCTAAAAAGGAACAGTGATTAAAACCAGCATTTTGTTAGGAAAAACCCCCAGCGAACTCAAACTACATTTCTGAACACAGTTTCACCTGCCAAAGGCGGGTGAGCTTCAGCTAGCAGGGGCTGGAAGAGTGACTTGAGAGCCCCCTCTGTGGCTACCGCTGCAGCAGCAGCGAGCCCACTGGGGTGTTAAATATTCCCGGGATATCCTAGGTGGGGTGGGAGCGTGGCATGGCGAGGCAGCTGTGCAAACCCAGAAAAATCTGAGCATTTGCTGCAGGGTACGAGCCCCAGACGAGCTTTGGAATGCTTCAGTCTGTGAACCCCGAGCGTGAGCTTAGGAAAAACCCTTCTGTTAAAGAGGTGCTGGACTGCTGCTCGCCATTTCAGACCTGGGCAGCTCTTACTACGGATCCTCTGGGATGGATGAGAGTCCCTGTGACTTTGGGGCACGGATTTTAAGAACCTTTCTCGACCCTTTTCAAATAAAATATGCATGGACACCCTCACTATAAAAAGGTTTTGGTTTGTTCTTTGACTGTTGTAGCTGTACTCATGACATCATTGCTTTATATTTTCCTCCTAGTGGAAATTACTGCAAAAAACATTAAGTTAAAGCAAAAGAGGTTTCAATGTTGCACTTCCCCATCCCAAATATTCTTCCTCCCACACCAGCAAATCTCATTAATGAGGAAACATCCACCAGCTTTTTGTTGTCGCTCCCTCACCGCACTGATCAGCAATCCTGTAACAAAATCTCTCACCAGCAACATTATTTCAGCAGGCTGTGAATTGTTCTTATTCCCCACAATTTGTTAATAGCTTTCTCATTGAAGATTAGAAGCCAAATCATTTATCTGGTGTGCCATTAGCAAGACTTATGCACTTCTTCCTTATTCACGGCTCATTACGCTGTGCAACTGGATTTCCATTCAGCGTAGCCGGAAAATCCTTTTCCTGAGGGAAAAGCCAATTTCATGAAGGGCGGTTGCACATCTCCTCTCTGCCTAGAATAATATTATGGTTGCATTCCTAATTGGTTTAACTTCTAGGCATCAAACTACATTTCCTGCACAGCAGGCTGCCTAGAATATAAATCCATTTTCATGTTTGTTCCCCTGACAGCGGGGTGCATTATTAAACCCCACCCCGCTGCCAAGATCAGCATCAACCCTGTAATCCTGATCTGGCGTTGAGGCCGCCAGGCCGAGCTCAACTCACCTCTTCCAAACGCACCCAGATCGCCTCCTGCTTTTGCTGAGCTGCAGTCACTAAACTGGGAAGCGAGGGATTCAAAATCCTCTTCTCCCGATTTTATCTTCTGGATGTAGCCTGTAAATACAGGGAATAGTTCAGTCAGGGGAAGAAAAAATGGGGGGCAAAACACCCTTAAAACCTCACTTGAAGCTTTACATCCCCCAGCAAGAAGGGCACAAACAGCCACATCTGCACACCACGCGCACGCAGTGAGGTTTTCAAACCTCCTGAACGAAGACACAGCCAGAACTAAACTTTCATAACACCCCAAAAACACTTGTCTTGGTTTTGTTTTTTTTTTCTGAGCACGTTTCCATCTTTGCACTGTGCTCCATTTCTGTTTAAGCTTCTATCAAATAAAAAAGTTGATTCCGCCTACAACTACCCTGAAGCACAGGAATTTATTATTAGGCTTGAAAATAGATGAGCTTTTGATTTCCAAAGGGCTCACCCCGGTAGAAGACCGAGCATGAAGAATCCCCGAGGAGTGAATTATTTGTCAAGACAGCTTTTGAAAAGGTCAGTTAAGAAATATTCGTGGTCTTAACTGAGAGCTCTGCCTGTTCTGAATCTTCCTGGCCCGGTGGAAAACCCCCCTGCTAACTCATAATGAGAAAACCTAAAAAATAGATCGTATTTTCCAGTCAACAGCTTGATAACGTGATTGTGGAGCCACTAATTACAGATACTGATTGCTCTCGGAGATGAGCAAAGCACCACGTACACGTCCTTTAACGCTGCCTGTGAGGCAGCTTTTCATGGATTCTCAGGACAAGAAAATCCCGTGCAGTTTCAGGCAACTCAACCAGCTTCCGCTCCTTTGTTAAAAGGAGCGTAACCACTAATCAAAATCCCAAGGCATCACCGGCCTGACTTGCAGCCACCCCCCATCAAGACGTATTTAGTACCAGCTGCAAGAAATATTTCTGCACGAGGACAGTCGTGGACTCCGAGTCTGGGAACGGCAGCTGTATCCGCTGCCGGTTAACCCGCCGCCTTCCCACAGCAGCCTGCTCCTGCCAGAGGGGCTTCCCTTCTGCATTTTGCACCACGAGGGATAAATTAAGACTAAACTACATTGCGAAAATCACTCATCCAGGTGTCTTAAGCGAGGGAGCATCTCCCAGAGGAATTCATCTACGCGTGTCCCAGAGCGCAGAGGAACAGCCCCAAAGTGGTGCTGCAGCTTCTGACCCGAAGCAACTCTCTGTACCAGGTGAAATCCAGCTAAACTTATTGCTCACTAGAGACTGGTTTCATTTTTAAATCCCTCTTTCCAGAAACCTCCTGTCAGCTTTTGAAAGAACCGGCAAAGCCTGACTGTCTTCCATTTTAGGCCTAAGCAGTCTTCCACCTTCAAAAAGAAATACTAAGAACCAACTGACTTTAACATTTCTCTTGATTTTTCTGTTGTTTCCCTCTCTCAAAGCAATTAAGCCTCCCGATTTTGATAACCAACCTTCCTATTTCAGGTCACTCCCATGTAAGACCTGTAGCCTGCATGTATAACGAGTCTGCACTTTGCTAGATAAACCTCTAAAAAATAAATAAAATTGGGCTGGGCATAGTTCATTCCAGCCACAAGCAGTGGCAGGTCCCTACCTGAAAAAGGGTCATGCATGAAAAAGCTAGGCTTTATTATTTGGAGGGATGCTCTGACAAAAGGAAGAGGGTGGTTTATGATGCAAAAGGGTGAGGAAGTATTTTTCTGCCTCGTTTTAATGCTATATACTTATAAAAGTATAACACCTGAGGAAATATCTGTGAGGGCTGGGGGCAGGTAAGAAAATATTCCGTAATGAGAGAACGGAGGCTGTCTCTTAGGAGTTGACACAGCCAGCAGCAACTGAAAAACCAGGTTATCAATTTTTGAATTAACTCCTTTATTGCAGTTTAACGCTAGCAAGACCAAAACTAAGGGATTTTAAGTCTTCAGATTAACCTTCTACCCTACAGCCCATTTTTCCTCCCAAATTCAGTCATCTCTTTCAATCAGCTGCCGCTAACCTAAATCTCTGGAATTCAGGAAGGTGTTCTGGACAGCCAGGTTTGCTTTTCCAGCTGGACAGGCCAGGAGGAAAAGCTGAAAAAAAAAATAAAAAATAAAGGGAATAGGAGATGGATTACTTCTGCTTCTAAAATTTCATTTTTATTCAACAAGTGTCCTGAATATAATTCAAAAGCCACAGAAAATTATCTTAATACCTAAAGTGCATAACCTGCTTTAACAGAAAACACCGGCGCTTGTTACCTGTGTAGAAAGTCTAACATGAAGGTCTGAAACTCTACAAAACTTAAGACAACAGCTATTTATCCTGCACTAAAATGAGAAACATGATTCTTTATCTGGGTGGAAGACAGGTCACAGCATTCATGTTTTAGGAAAGAAACTAATACTGGTTCATCCTATTAAACTAAGCCGCTTGTGCATAAACACTCTACTTGCTGACAAAACAGAGTTTATCCTAAAAGTACATATTTGCACCACCATAAATACGTATCTAATTGCATATAGCTGCCAATCCCCAGCAAGTACCCGTCACAAATCACACCCAGAAGTGTCAGGAATTACAGCTTTAAGGTATATGCCGATGTTAAAGTAAGAAAGCATCCAAATTAAGGATCTGAGTGTTTACATTTATATCCCAAACTGTCTGCCCTGGTCACATCAGCAGGTTCCTAGTGGTAAAGAGTTTCATAAGCATGCAGAGCAAACCAGTCAACTACACACCGAAATGGAATTTAGTTATTAAAACCTCCTAATTTATGCCCGTGACAAGCCTGGGAGCAAAATCTGCCCGTTAGCTAGATGAGGGTTCTCCCGGATAAAGCTGAAGGTTGAAGTTGTTTTTCCAAGCCACCTCTACCAGAACAAGACACCTGCATCTTGTGTCTAAACTCTGGCTCTGTGAAGTGGGATTAACAAGCTTTTCCCCTAATGATCTCAGCCATTTAGAACAAATGACGCAGATTAGGTACCGTCCAGGTTTTAATAAACTACCCCTAAAAATCTCCAGGTGTCCGTGAGATTGAATAACGGGAGATTAGTGCAAAACGAGCAAGAGGAGGAACAGCAACGGATTGGGCTGAAGTGGGGAGTATTGGGGGAGAGAAGTTTTTGGGGACTCAACTTCGGGATGAATCCTAGATGATTCTGCAACAGGAAACAGGGGTAAGCTAACAAAACATGGAGGGTGGGGAATCACTGCAGCAGAAAGGAGGATCAGAATATTAAACGTGACCTGAATGACCAAGCAAGAACCAACGGCACCAAGTGAACTCGCACACGCATCTACAGATGCAACAACAACAGCAAAAAAAAATAAATTGTTACATGCAGAGAACTCGATCAGAAAGAAGAGGATGAAAATGCAGAATTACAAGTACAAAATAGGCCGGGTGACTTTAAAAGCCAGAAATGCAGCACTGAAGTGATGGTATCCTCAGCAGGGAGAATGGCAGTAGTAAATGCCACAGTGGAAGGCACAGCCAAGAGCTAATCTGGAATATTGCACACCACGATGAACCCACGCTCAAGAAAGATTAATCAAAACCAAAGTGCAAAGGAGGGCTAAGAGTAGAAACAGCAGAAGGGATGACCTACATTACCAGAAACTAAAAGCCTGGTTGGCTCAGTATGCAAAAACAGGCTGGTAAAGAGAGGGGCTCTCTAAATCCACTGAGAGGTCAACATCAGGAAGAAATTAAATTTAATTAAGTAATTAAACAACACTAATGCAAGGAAGACCGGAGAGAAACATCATAAGTGGTGCTTAGCTGGAAACTGGGTTTTTGCATGTCAAAGCAGAGATGGTCTGAAATAACCTTCACAGCAAATCCAGCCAGAACCCTAACGGCCTCTTAAACGGTGCTTGGTAAAGCCTGCAGAGGGGCCTAAGAGGTTTCACTACCTTTAATATCAGGGTCAGGCTCAAATCTGGAATTTCTTTCTAGTCCCCACATTCCCTGCGATGTTCTCACCTACCAGAAAAGCACCTGGTGAGCCAAGTCCTCCAACTCCTGCTGTAGCCCAGTGGGTGGGTTAACCTGCACTTAATGCTCCGCTGCAACTTTCTTAATGGATTAAAAACCATCCACAGATGACACAGAGAGAGCTCCTCCAGCTCTCTCAACTCTCCTCCCTTATTATGGGAGAAAAGCCATCAAAAGGAATATTTGACATCAGTCAAGTTCACCTACCGAAAACGTTTATCTTTAGTATCATCCCCTCTCCTGTGGGGACCCAGAGCTCCCTAATCAAATTTCTTTCTCAGATTTTTATTGCACGAAGCATTAACACCAGAGCTAGATTCAGATGGGGAGATCTCAAACATAACCGATCTCCAAACAAAACAAGAAAATGTGTGGTACTGTGCCTGTCAAACAAATTCCTCCCCAGAGACCTACTTAGACAATTCTACACTATAATTACATTCAGCAGGTACAGTACATCTGTTCAGAGAAGTTCATCAACACCTGACAGTCAGGAGCCGCAGCTGAGCTGAGCCGAGCACCCTCCCAGAAAGTTTCAGCTGTTCTAGAAACCAGATTTACAGTTAATTTTCAAGAAGCCACCACAAAATAATCCAAGCATAAGCTGATGTTCCCTATGACCTTCCCAGGAGTAGCGTTTATGGTGGACTAATGTGGACAGAAAGGTGGCTAGGGGTTGGGTTTGTTGGTTTTTTTTTTTTTTACAATTTATTTCCATCACAGAAGTTAATTCCCTAATGGCCTTTACCAAGACAACAAGCAGGGCATTTACATTAAGTAAGTTTTAGTTACCACTCTTTCCTCTTCAAACACCAGAGAGATTATGCAACAAAAAGTGTTATCTGATAGTGAGAAGGCTCTGAAGCTGTCAAGCTTAATCTCATTCTTTCGAGCCAAGGGAAGTTTAAGCTGTTTCTTTTCATCACTTTACCAGGTAGCAAAGAACTGTGGCATCTCAAAGAAAAACACTCAAGCAAAGAATGATGACAATTGTTGAGTCAATTAACATTATTCAGGCTTCTAAAGATAACCAGTTTACAGAACATCTACGTATAGAAATGCCTACCTGGTCACAAGTTCCTGAAATACCTCTTTAGAGATAATGAGCAACTTTCCCTTCTAAAACGTGATTCCCTCTTACAAAGATCCAAGTTCACCAGTGCCTGATTAACACACAACAGCATCACGCATCACTTAACCCTCTGGCCTCTAGAAAGCTCTGTGCTGGCCTTTTATGAACATCATGCCAAGAGATGGCTCTAGAATAATTTTATTCTCCCCCCAAAAACTAGAGAGATAGACATAGAGAGAATTTGCAGCTCTGCTGGAATATTTCAATCTAGTTATCTTTGCAACAGTCCCAACTGCCTTGGCACAGATCTCCACACTTGGCGTGCATCTCGCTTTATCACCTCCGGTCACACTTTCTCAGCCACCCTAACCTGAAGGGGACAATTCCCTAAAAAAATTCCCATCTGTGCCAGTTAATTTAACCTCCCCTTCCAAAAGGCAGTGAGCAGATACCACCTGCTGGTCGCTGCCTCACTGCTTCAAATTATTTAGCAAAGAAATTTCCCCTCCCAGGGCTTTCAGAGACAAAAGTCCTTACATTTATTGCTGGTTAGGACCAAGGCAATAGCCAAAACACCCTCATTATCTTCCCTCCATCGTTGCTGAAGCCATAAAAGATAAGACAGGCCCAGCACTGCGGTTCCTATCTGTGCTCACAGCCCACAGCGCGTCAGCTAGCCTTGCACCCTCGCTGCCAGAAAAGATAAAAAGCATGGCCTCAGTTTCATCAATTAATCAGTGGGACTGATTTAAACCTCAACTTAAGCCCACAAATTCCTTATCCTGAGAGGTACAAGCCAGTAGTAACAGCTGGACTTTGAACTTGCATCCGTAAGATCAAAAAAACCCCTTGATGCTGAAGAAACATGACATCGATTCAATTCTACTGCTGGGGCTGCAAGGAAAAATCTAGGCTGCAAAGATTAACGCTACCAAACGCAGAAGACACGCAGCACCCTCACTCCTAGACCAGATCACAAGCCAGAACACTCTGGGAAAAGCCCGAACTGATCAGGTCATCCGCACAGCCTCATGCAAGGTTGACTGCCTCCTACAAGCAACTTGATTTCAAGCAGAGGTTAATTAGAACTTACTAAGTTGCTATTAGGGCAAGGAGTCAAGTGACATTAAATAAAAAGAAATGTTTAAAGAACATTTGTTTTAGCTTTAAATAATTTTATTTTTAATATAAAAATACACATTTACAAAGAAAATACAAACAAACCTCTGAAATAACATTACAAAAAAAACACAAAGGGGAAGACACACGGGCTGGGACCTATCTTTACGTCATTTAATCATACAGTAAAATTGTTTCTCCAAGTGGCTGGGCCACACAAAAGTCCATGTTCAAACCACTTGGCTTAAAAAACCCCTTCTGCTTTAACAAGTTCACGACATACCGAACCACTCAGCTTGGGGTCAAATTCTAGCCTTAAAATGACTTTTCCCCTCCAACAGTATCATATTCTCTCTCTCTCTCTCTCCTGCATTTACTTGCCATTTATAAGCTCCAGTGCCTCATCTTTGGTCCGCGTGATCTTTTCCTGCCTCCACGACGAGGGTCTCCTGGACTGGTTGTGTTTCACCAAGAGATGTGAACATCGCACTTTGCTGGGCTCCCCTTGGCCGTTCTTCCCGCTGCCGCTGGGCCGTTCCCACTGGCTGGCATTTGTGATGTGGTTGAAGTAATAAACACGGCCTGCAGACAGACAGAAGGGGCTCGGGTTAAAAAAAAAAAAAAAGCTCCTGGCAGACCCTGACAATCAGCTTCTTGACCCCAAGAATCAGCTTCTTGACCCTGCAGGCACAGAAGACTGGATTTCTGCAAGTGCTCGACCACGTCCACACAATCCGCTCAAACACACAAGGTAGGAAACAAGACTTTACAACTCCACATCGTTTCCTATGTAAGCGTTTCCATCAGGAAGCACTTTTAGTCAAAAGCAAGAGCCCTGCACCGAAGCAGGCTCCAGCCGCCTTTCCAATTCATGGCGCTCGCCCAGATCTGTGACAAAACAGCCACTGACACAGTCCGAACCACAAACACCCCCAGGCAACACCCTGCTCTGCCGGGAAGGCCCATGGTGCCCTGTTTCTGGCCTGGGAAAAAGATTACATTTTGCTCTAGCCCTGTTTACATCTGTAAAATCTCTCCGTTGAGCACATCCCACAGCTAGCAAAGATCACCTCTTGTATTGCACAGACTTGTCCTTCTGAAAATCACCTTTTTTTCTACCAGAAAACAAAACCTTCCTGCACGAGATATCCACGGTTTCCCTGGGTAGCACAAAATTAAATTCTGGTGAAGTCACCTCTCAACACATTAGACACAGGGCATTGTGCTGCTCAAAGGCCTTTCAGCGCTCAGAGCCATGTGTGCATTTACCTGCGACAACTCGCAGCATCGACTGAGATGATTTCTGCTTTCTTCAAGGGAATCATTCATCCCAAAGCTCTCCACTGAAGCTAGGAGCAGACTAGACTCAAGAAAAAAGCCAAGCAAACCAAGGTGAGGGACTGCAACAGCAGAGCTGTGCGGTGGGAAGCTACAACCTAGGGGCAAAGGGCCCAAATTCCTGCCTGCCATCCCAACCAACAGCCTAAACCTGCTGACTCCAGAAAGCCAGAGAGCTCCATCCCGCCACGATTATTCAACCGCGGTAGGTCTGGCAAAAAGGGGTCCGAAGGGGCCCCTCTTCTCTCCCAGGCTCATCACCTCCACCTCAAACGAGCTGAGCAGGCAAGTGGAAGAACGCGACCTCCCAGGAGCCGCTCTGGAACTGCTACGCGTGGAAAGCTTTCGCCACAAAGGCCAAAGCCCTGATGAAAGCGCCGTCCTGGCCCAAAACTTCTCCCCCCGAGCCACCGCAGCCCCACCGAGGGCAAAGCGTCCTGCCCCGCTCAGACCTGGCCTTTTGGAAAGCGACTCTACCGCCCTGCCCCGCTTCCCTCCGCCAGCTACCCCACACGGAGCACATCTCCCCCTCCCCAGCCCCCCCCATCCGCACGGCCCGGGCATGGCCCCCGGCAGACCACGGTGCCAGGAGCCGCTTCGCTCCCCCCCGC